AGAAATATTTGTCACTTTTTTATATTAAAGCTGTAAGCACATGACAGAGGGAATGTCTAACTTGCACAGGAATATTTAAGGATTGTTAGGACACCGCTGCTCTGCTAACTATGGCAGCTTCACACAAACACATCGTCACCCAGCTGGTTCAGCATTTCAAATCCTCGCGAAAAGCCGTTGGAGCGAGCGGCTTTCGCGAAACTGAGCAAAGCAAACTAACGCTCGAAGTTCCCAAAATAGGGGGCATCCGGATTCAAACCGGGGACCTGTTTATGTCCAGCCGAATACTCTACCACTGAGCTATATCCCTTTTTGTTGCCACCATCTTGGCTTTTATTTGCCTAAAAACATTATGCTATTTACTACCTAAAAGGTCAGCACTTCTGACAGACCTCTCAAAATTGTTCTCACATGTTCGACATGAAACTGTTTTTTCTCGTTGTTCCGGTTAGCCACACCTTTCCAAAGAGTGCCATACATTCGGGACCTTATAGTTTTAGTCTTGAACTCCTTCCGATGTTCTGTCTCCTCAAACAAAGTTGTTTGTTTTTTTTTGTGTGTGATGGATGACGCTTAGTGAAATCCCTCTAGAGAGGGATTTCACTCATTCACTCAGAGGGATTTCACGCAGACTTGCCTCGTTCTCGTACCAAGGTGTGATCAGTACGCAAGTTCCATATCGCATGCGAACCGATCAGGGTCAGGAACTCGTAACATGTGCTCTGTTGCTTTTCCGGTGTTTCAAGAAACTTTATGCTCACCAGGTTTGGTATAGCTCGATCCGAAGCTCCGCGCATAGCTGTGCCCAAAATAGTTCTTCATTGGTGCAATTCATGAATGTACGTTGCAGTGTTTCTGAAACAGGGCAAATGACGCAATTGACTCCACAAGGCACAAAAAAACCTTTTTCTTCCTCCCAGGTCTTCACCTGCAGAACTTCGGGGTGAAAGCGCACGAAAAAATTCTTTCTCCCTTTCCGAACTTTCCCTTTCCAGACGCTTTAACACGCCCGACTTTTCGCAGCCAGGAAATAGTTGGCGATACATTGGAGGCGGCATTACAAGATCCAGAGTGTCCCAAATAAAGACGTCTGCGTTTGACGGGGTTTAGGTATTCCCACGAAAAACGTTCTTCAAAAAAGCGAATCGCATCTCTAATTTCTTTCTAGTATCGTAGGATCGAGGTCTTTCCTGGAGTGCCAACGGTCTCTTTCGTCCAAGAAGCCAGATATGATCCACCGAGCTCTTTCAACGCCGCTGTCAACACCGGGCTGGTTGCTTTGTTTCGGAAGACACGGAAACGTTGCAGTTTCAATTCTATGTCTAAGTTTACAAGTTTCAGCCCTCCTTTATGCTTACTGATAGAGAGATTGTTTCTACGCATCCTTTCAAACCTACAGCCCCACACAAACTTCGCACAAAACCGATGCACTTTTTTTTTACATTGAGTGGCCTGCATGGAACAGTTTGCACCGAATATCAGACAGTGGAAAAAAAAATACTGCATTGCCAATAAAAGCTCTGTTCAGTAGCGGTACGTATTTGACCTGCCATTCTGGAAGTTTAGCCCTCAGTGTGCTCTGGTGAATGCCATCCTGTCCGGTCCTTAGCTGCTCTGTGCCCAGCCCAACCCCAAGGTAGTTGGAGATTGATGTGAATCACACGATACCCAAGAAATGTTCTGGCTTGGATGCCCACGGCCCCAGCCAGGCTCCGACAGACTTTTGGGGGTTCATCTCAGCTCCAGAAACGTCACTAAACGGCCTTAGAAGTCCTACCGCCCGCAATATTTCTTTGTGAGTTTGGCCAATTAGGGTGACGTCATCCGCGTAAGCTAGCAGCCGTGCTGACGTTTTACCCAGGTTTGCGCCCTTTATGATGTGGTCATTCAAGAATATGCCTTACTTTCTGGCAGATAGATAGCAAAAAGTATGGGCGACATTGTGCATCCTTGGCGTACCGACGACTTCACGGGAATGGAGCGTGACTTGCGTCCATTGATTAAGATCCGTGTGCTTATCACTCTAAAGAAAGCCCGTGCGTCTGCTTTCCCGCACAACACTCGAAGAACCAATCACCGCAACTTACGGAGGCAGCTTAGCGAATGACGATGCCGAAACATATGTTTATACCAAAAGATGCAGTCTGAGTTGTGACATTAAGGAATGCAAAGCGTCACGCTTGCATTGCTTAGTATCACAACTCAGACTGCGTTTTTTGGTCTAAACGTATGTTTCGGCATCGTCATTCGCTGATCTGCCTCCGTAAGTTGCGGTGATTGGCTCTCCGAGTGTTGCGCAGGAAAGCAGACGCACGGGCTTTTTTTAGAGTATGTCCCTGTAACATATTTTAATGAAATTGACCAGAAATTATTCGACTCCACAGTGCTCTAATAATAAAAATAAAAAGAAGTGACACTTTATCAAACGCTTTTTTTCAAATTTATTTGTAGGTCAGCCGTCGGTTCTGCCGTTTCCGCTATAATCCTCATTGTATGCAGATTAGTGAATATCGACCTGCTTTTAAAACCATACGTTTGATGATTTCCAACTGGTATGAAATGCAACTTCCATGTGGTTTGATATAATTTTTGCTAGCATCTTATAATCCGTTATCAGAAGGGTGATGGTCGAAAGTCTTCGCTGGTTCTGATTGACACCTCGCTTTTCCGTTTCGGAAGTAGTACCGTTGGTCGCCTGTCGCATTGAAGGTGAAAGAAGGTTTCGGTTATATATATATCCGCATACACTATCGTTCAAACCGGGACTAGTTCCGATGGAAACATATTGTAGGAACCCGCACCAAGAAATTGCAAAAAATATTATTTATTTATTTATTAATCAAGCTTTTATGTTAGTTGAAGTTCAAAAATAAAAAAATAAAAACCTAAATTACACAGAAGCTTTCACGAGTAAAAGTACGCGACGAGATGTCTGGTAAATTAGTAAAAACAAAAAAAAACAAAAAAAAAACAAGGACTTTCTATCTTTAAAACTATAAAAGCAAACTTGCACTGGACACCAAGAGGACTATAGTCTTAAAAAAATAAAATTTCCTAAATACGTACAGACCCTCCTAAAATGTAGAACACTATGAAGGAATTGATGTCAATAAATCAAGTGTTCATTCCAGAAGAGCTCGACATTGACGGTCATATGACGCCTAATCCTCACTGCCGAACTTGTTTAAATATTTTTTGCCACCTGGTGCTTCTTAATCATCGTTCTGTACAGTAATAGTCAATTACTTATCGGGTATTTTCCCAGGTAACTTTGAAACTTGCCAAAGTTTCCGTTATCCAGAAAGGTGGTGCATTTGAAAACCTCAGCAACTATAACCATATACCATGTCATACACCATGTAATAAGGACACAACCGAGCATCAGTTTGACTTTCAAAAGAGTAAGTCAACTCAGTCAGTCTTGATGCGAATTAAAGGCAAAATTATAATTTAAGGCCAAACATACACAATTTGAGTTTTCTTGGGTTTTAGAAAGGCATTTTATTATATTCAACATGAAATCTTACGAAACAAAAAGTTAGCTTCGAATGGAATTAGACGGGTGCGTGACACTGCGGTCATGCTCCACGGACGCGCGCGCAAGGCGCGCGCGCAAGCATCCTGCTCCTGCTTAGTCCTGCGTAACGTTGGCTCCTGCTGCGAGCGGCGAGCTTCCTCGCGTGGCTCGTGCCGAGTTAACGAAAGTGGCTGTGATGGAACTTCCAGCGCACCACCGGCACCAAACGGCGCAGCGTCGAAGCTTGGCTTGAGCTGTTCGAGGGTCAAACACATCCGAGTAGTACGCATAAACCTCGTAGCGCCCTACTCCCCATTCAGCAGTTTTATCAGTTTCCAGGCGACGCAGCATGTGTCGACGGCCACTCGCTCCGCTGTTCGCATTTCATTCGAACCCGATAGTAATATACCATGCCTTCCGAAGAAACATTTTTTTATAAAATAATTTATTTTAGCTATGACTTTGTTTATTTATTTAATGATCACCAGTTTTGCAGGAATGAAGGAAGTCCTGTATTTCTAGTAATATGACTTTGCTTACCTTGTTTATTCACCAAAAATGTTTGAGATGTGGGAATAGCAAAAGCTGTTCTCTTGCAGTTAACGGGACGTTTTGTAGTGTGTGTTTAAGGCAAAACAACGTGTGTGTTTTTTTGTGTAACAAAACTTTGTGTGTTTTTACACACAATACAAGTATCTTTAGATAATTTATTTACCGAACATGTGTGTTGTTGACGAATAACATAACCCCTGTTTTTTAACCGATAAGCTTGTCTGTACCTAACAGAACCTTTTCCTTATTTTGCCCGAAATTTTCAGGATATTTCATGTTATATTACAAGCTTTTTTTCTTTCCTGCAGCATGGCATATTTGATATGGCCGACGAAAAACTAATAAAACATATCTACCTCCAAATAGCAAAAGAAAAATAGAGGTGAGGCAAAACGAGAATGGGCGATGGTTACGCTTATATTCTAAATCTATTCTGTTGGCGTGGCGATGGTGTAAAACAATGTTTTCGCCCATTCTGAAAGTGTCGACATACAAAATGGCGGAGCCCTCGTGGAAAAGGTGTATACTTAGGGTTGTTGTAATATCCAATGCCCACTGCACGCGCTCTTTGCAAAAAAAAAAGAAATAAATAAAAATAGTGTATAACAAAATACCGTCGTAGCACCGTAAATGCCTAGAGCTCGTATCGGGAGATGCGCTTTAACGCGCTCCGCCCCCCCCCCCCCCCCCCCCCCGAAAAAAAAAAAAGAAACAAATGAAACAACTGCGTTTGTATCAAAACAGGTGTTTATTTGTTCACGATTTTCGAACGCTTGCGTTCACACACCCAACGCCGATGCCCAACGACTTCGCCGTGCCTTGTCGCAACTATCGCTCTGACTATAGTGTGGATTAACATAGGACTATTTAATTTTTGTTGGTGTTTATCCCATGCAGTGGTGGACGCTCATAACTGACCTTTTCAATTCAGGTTCTTCGCCAGCTACGGCCAGCTCACTCGCCCTGCGGCGTGTAATTGCGGCGACAACCTGCCCCACCGTCGTGACGACGGAAACGCCATTGATGTCAGCGTCCATCCGACGGACACAACTGTTGCTGGTGAGCCGTTGTCTGCACGTTATTGCCATAGATGAGCGAACATTATAAGCTATGACTAGGGTTCCTTGTTTTCGGTAAATACGGGTAAAACTAAAAAAAAAAATAATCCCCCAGCCGGTTTCTATCAAGTCGGGGAAAACCACAACATTTCGACTTCAAGCCGTCCTCTAATGGGAAATACCCAAGCTTGACGGGAAGAAAATATTTGTCTGCAGCTTTATTTTCTGTTCACCTAGAGGCTAGAACACAGTTAAGGCCCGTTCACACACTTGCGTTTGACTACAACCGACTGAGACACGACCGGTTTTTAAGCCTCTTGTGATGGCGTACGACCAGCTCCGCAGCAGCGCATCTGGTCGTAAGCTTCCGCAAGAGGCTTAAAAACGGATTTGTTTCAGTTGGTCGTGCTCGGTTGAAAGTGTGTGAACGGTCCCTTGCAGTGAACTAGAGGAGGGGTGGTGAGATCAGGCACCGACGCGCGCTAAGCATTGCTGTGAAGCGGCGAGTGTGGAAAGGTCCCGTATGTACGCAACGGCGCTGCAGGAGCATTGGCTGGAGGATCCGAGTGTTCAGAAAGCCCTCGACAAGCAGGTTTGGCCTGGCGCTTTGGCAGCGAGAACTGGCTCTCGTTCGGATCCTTCCCCCGTGTTTTCTGTTGCGTATGTCGATTGAAGTGCAGTGCCGAATCGACTACGACGACAACGAAACGACGACGACGACAACGACAGAAGCGCAGCAAATGCTGTGCGTATCATGCGCTACTACAGTCCTTGCTTTAGTGGCGCCCTCTCGTGCCGTCGACACGGTGTGCGGTAGCCGTGAGCACTCGCTGAGCTCACTACTTCTCCTCTAGTTCACTCTTTAACGCAGTCTCAAAAGCGAGGCTTCTTTCGCGGAACCACATGGTACGTCTGGTTTCTCTTTCTTATCGGTACGGGGACGCCTTCCGAGTATTTGGGTCGCGTGTATGTTCAAGTGGAGGTTGGGGAAACCCATGCCCTATATTCTTAAACGTAAAAGCCCTGATAAACACCCAGTTTTCGTCCGACACAAAACTTTATACCGAAAAACGCCGAATTTGTGCTGGAAAAAATAAACCCCGTAAAAACACACCTTATAAGAAAAATAAAGCCACTAAACATGAAGCCCTAGCTATACATAGCGTTCCGTGTTTTATGGGTTTATTTTTCTTCGAATTCTGTGGGCGTTTTTTCGCGGCTTATTTCAATAGTAGATTATGTGTTTCACGGTGTTGACTTCCGGCGTCTTAAAAACGTTTTCATTATGGCTTAAGTTGAAGAAAACCAGTACACGTGTATGGGACTCACTAACCTCCAAGGATCATGGGTGTGCCTTGTCACTCGAAACCGTTCTGGTATGAATACGAGGAAGTGGTTCCCGAAGACAAAAAGCAGACTCGCGGACGGTTAAGTGCGGGCTGTGTCCCGAGTACCGACTCCCGAGCCAACACGATGTGTAGCTGTAGAGAAAGGGTTTTTCCCAGGGCTGGTCAACCCGAGGGAAATTTTCCAGATTAAGGCAATATCCAGTTCTATGTGGGAATAAGGGAAATCTCGCTAGTTTGAGGGAAAGTTTTGGGCATCGTACATATTTGGAAGTCAATTACAATTTTTTTTTTTTGAGATAACATCGAATTTAGGTGACTTTTGCTACATTTGGGTTATTCCCTCCATCCGTTTGGTGGTTTTTTGTGCTACTATTTGGCAACACCCAGGAGCACTCGAAAAACTTTTTTCGGCATAATCAGTTTTCATCACCCTCGTAAAAACTATGGAGGCAGAGACCAGTCACCTCTAAGCTTCTGAGAGCGCTGCTGCGCCTTCTCGAAAAAGAAAGCTTGGTTGGGTACACAAAGAAATACTGCGATGTCTGGAGGTATACACACTTACCATGTCCAAGATACAGGCTTACCACGACTAATAATATTTCGCGAAGTGCCGTGCACGAAATGGTGCTTACTGTGTGTCGTGTTCCGTGTGTTCCAGTTTGAAAACTCTAGCTTGTGTTACACTTTTTGTTTGGACTGGCTATTATAAAAAGCGCTAAAGAAGTCATTAAAGCAATACCATGTTCTGATGAAGTGCATAACAAAGATAGGCAAAGATAGGGTTTCATTTGCGAGTTTGTTACCGGGAGTCAAGCTCCCGGTAACACTTCCCCTCGCCAGGTTTGCTTTGACCACTGTTTTGGCCCTAATAAACTCATTTTTGCAAAACGTATACCGCGAGGCGTAAAGGCTATATAATAATCTCTCACCGTAAAAATGGAATTGATGCAGAAAACAGCGAATATTTAGTATTATATAATTATTTGGGCAAGCGAGGGAAATTGCGGCAGAAATAGGGACATTTCCAGCGTCAGCTAGGGAAATTTTGACTTTCCGTGTTGGCAGCCCGGGTTCTTCCCTTGAAACTGAAGTTTTTCTCGTTCGTCTTTCAAAAAAAAAAAAAAAAAAAAAAACTTTATTTTGTTTTATATATATATATTTTTTTTTAGGTTTTGATCAAAACCGGAGAGGGGGATGTTTTTGGGAGATTGTCGGTGTATACCAAAATCACGGAACACGAGTTGTAACTTAAAAATAAACAATGTTGTAATGACCACCTTCAAATTTTTGTCCTGAATTTATTAATGTATTGAGAAGGTTCACTTGTATTCATACATTAGCTTGTTCCTGGTTATGCTGGAAGCCTAATATTTAATCTTTTTTTTTTTTTAAATTAGCGCTGATTCAAATAAAAAAAAAAAAATAGAGAGCACGCCGTAAAAGGAGTGAAAGACCATCGCAACGAAATACTGTTAGTAGTCATTTTATTATCCTAAAGTGCATTACAACGTTCTACAAGATAAGTTGGCAACAATAAGAGCTAAACAGGGTTTTCACGTGACATCATAGCCTAAAGCAAGTAGGGCTTGCGTGCACATATGGGCGGGCACTGCGCCATGCTGGTGGTCAAGAGTGATCGACACTGCGCATGCGCCGAGTGGCGGAGGTTTCTCCTTACATGCAACCTCTGCCACGGTGCCAGTGTGTGCTCACGACCACTGAAAAGCAAATGGGCAGCCCATCTTGTCAGCCAAACCTTGCAGCTGCTTCCGTTGTTGCTACAAATGGATCCCAGTTTCGAAGTCTAGGAGAAGATTGAAGGTCGATCTGGAATCTCTGAAGCCGTGCTCCTACAAAAGACAGCCTGCAGACACTGTCTGAGGCATTTCTTGTGTGACGTCTGCGGACGTAATCTTCAAATGTATGAAGGAAACGTCTTTCGACCACCTCTGAGGCGCGTCCGCCGATGCCCTGCAGCGCCTCCTGTATGACGTCTGAACAGCATGACCGCGGCTCTAGGGCGAGTTCTTTCTCTGGTGTTCCTGTCCGCACAAGTAAAGCCACGGAACTGAAAATGGCTACTAGATAGTCCTTGCGAAGTTTAGTCATCTGCGACGCCGGGGGTTGTGATTGTAATTAAGACTGCTGTCGTCGTATAGTCCCTGTCGCTGGGCTTACGGAACCAGCAATACACACTTGTGTACAACCTGCATACTTTGTGTTCTTGGACGAGAAGACGAGCGATCCTCCAAGAAGCTGCCGCATTGCTATGCATGCCAAGTATAGATTTTTTTTTTTTTTTTTTAATGTCCGGGGTTGCTTTCAAGTGTGGCTCGGGGAGTGGGGGGATGTACACAGGCGGTCCTAAACTATCTTGAAGTAGTCAAAATGAAAGTTCGAGTGGCGAGTGTCTTATCACTCTTCAGCCAAGGACATTGTGGCATCGATTGATAAGAAGGTCGGTGATAATGTAAAGTTTTGTGTGTCAGAGGAGAGCAGGGAGCCCAGCAAAGCCTCGCTCATAACTCGGGAAAAAGGGCCCTTCTCGTCAATGTTTCTAGCGTTGTGGATTCTTCGGACGCGCAGCGAAGGACCCCACTTTTTTAATGATAACGGAATTATGTTCAGCGCCCCTTTGAGCAGCCCAGGACGTTCTAATCGCCAATTCCACTGGTCGTTTTGAAGCGCGCCGGGATCGACTTTTCTGAAGCGATCCTGTTTCACTGGCGATCGGGATCGAGACGGACGTGTTCCACGGTCGTTTTGGATTAGCTTCCGCTCCAGATCTCGATCTGGATCCGGGAAAAGTCGCTCCGCCGATTTCGGCGGATTCAACCGGAAACCAGCCGGGACAGCCCTCGGCGCACACGCGTGACTTCCTTTCTCGTGGGGCATCTCGCCTGATCTCGCCCATCTCGCCTCAGGACTCGAGAATTCGTAATGGCCGCCTGTACCGCCCGCCTTATTGCTGCTGCTGCTTGACGACAGTTCGTCGTCAAGTTGCTCGAGCAGCTTCCGGCATTCCGGCAGTCTTTGCTAGAAACTCTTGAGCAATTCCTGCCGCTCGTGCGTCGAACACGGGTTAGCGCCGCGACTGCGAAAACGTCTTCGAAACGACCGCAGGGGCCGCGGAAAGGGGATTCCCCGGCAGGTCAATGACGGGAAGGCATTCGCCGATCCCGGAACAATGGTCATATTCCACTGGGGATCCGTAGGCGGCGCAACCCCGTTCGGATCGTGTGCTCCATTCCGGATCTGGTCAACTGACCCCGGCGCGCTTCAAAACGCCCAGTGTAATTCGCCATTAGTGTGATTGGGGTGACCAAATATTGCCATAATGTCGACCATGGTTGTCCATAAAGAGGCCTATAATGAAACGCTCGGACAGCGAATATTTCCTCGCTCCGCGTACTGAGTACGAATATTGAGCTGGCTTTTCGGGACCACGGCGTGTTCTAGACTAACCACATAACTATCTCCGTTCTGTTTCCAGCCGGGGGACCAGCTTTGGTAGCCCCGCATTATAACGTTTCCCTCATGCACCTGACTGAGACGCGTCGCCCTCCAGCACCGAGCTGTCCACCACCCCAAGGCTCCGTGAACTACGTAAGGTTGCCGTAATGACAGTCCTCTAGGCTTTATATTTCCGTATACGTGGTCAAAATGTCCCCGTGTCTCCTTCCCGCAGGGCAGGGAGATAGCCAGTCACAGTGATCTACGGTGGCAACTTTGTAAACAAAAAAAAAAAAACACCGTATTATAAATTTATGGCAAGTCTCAAGTTTGAAAACGAAAACAGTGTATTCATAGTCACTGAAGGGTTAAAGCCGGGGTCATACTGCTCCCACGTCATACAAAAGACAGTCTGCAAACAATCTGTGGTTCGAATGTCGCGTGCGAAGTTTCTCCTCGAACTCAATGCCATGCGGCATTCGAAGCACGGATCTCGCGGTGGTACGCGTTCTGAACTGTTTGCAGACTGTAAAACGAGCAGCGTTCTTCTCCTCAACTCGCAACCTGAACGAGCGGCCATGTGACCGTAGCAATTATATGCCGCCGATGTTTACCATAGCCACGCGCCGGGGTTGGCAAAGCGCAGACACCCGCTAAGTTCCACGCATTCTTAGGGTTCGGGTATGGTCGTTATTGCAGCGATTGAACACGAGCCACTACCCGAATGATTGTCGACAAAATATCGTCACGGGGGGACTAAGCCAACGCTGCTAAATCCAAGATGATAGGTCATCAAGTTTTGCGAAAGATAGATTGAGAGAAAACGCTCACTTTCACTCTTGAAATTACACCGGAACAAAGAGGTTTCTTTGGTCAATGGCGTTGCGTGCGAGTACAGGGTATTTTCACTGACGTAATTCCGTTCACCATTTTGTTGTTATGAGCTGCCTGGCGCGTGCTTAAAGCGAGTATTCCGAAGATCTGCATGCCTTCCTCAAATCAGGAGTGGACGAAAGCTTGTAAGTTTAATCGCGCCTTCTTTCTTCTTTTTCTGATTAAAAAAAAAAACTCATTTTCACTTTATTGCTTTAACAACAAAATGGCTGATTGACGTCATGTGAAAACGCCCTATTTTTGTGTCCCACTGGTGCCAGTAAGCTCGTGTAAAGTGAAAAATATTCCAACTTAAGAGGAGTGAGGCGAATCCCGAGCGCCTTCTTATCACTCCGCTGCCAAGGGGACTGCGGCCTATCAGAAAGAAGGAATCACGGAGCATGAATAGAAAACACCCTGTGTTTCTGAAGATGTCCCTGACGACTATAAAGGCCGGTTCTCACATGCAGCGAAGCGCTGATGTAGCGCTCCTCACGTGCCGTCAGCTACTTATCGTCTGCCATGAGCAACAGCTTTGACGGTGCGATACAAAGGTGGTGAACGCTCCCGTCAGCACGCGCTTAGCGCGAGGTAAGCGCTATGCTTGTAGCGCTCCGCTGCATGTGTGAACGGGCCTTATCCCAGGTAGTATACCAGACAAGCGCCTAACTTGGCACAAGCATGACGATCCTAGGAGCCGGTTGCTTTCCGACGCGTGTGTCAGAATACTTTTCTTTAGCCTTTCTGCGACTTTTCCCGAGGCTCGCCACATAATTTCCAAAGGACCAGACTTGAGCCAAAGACGTATGAACCGAACAACCAGCAGTGACGCCTAAATCTGCCACTTGTTCGTCAATTCGCTCCAATACCATTGCCTGAGACGTGACCACCCGGATCTGCCTTTAGAGAAGGTCTATGAGAGTTTTCGTATATCGTTGCTGGGAGTAGCATGTTCGCTGAACGGTTCCCAGTCTCACAAATAAGCTATCATCATTGTTTCAAAGTATGAGAATGGTATATGCGAAGACGTTCCTCCCTGTCGTTTGAAACCTCTAGAAATATAGAAATTTCGAGGTCTCGGTCTTTTTAAGAATGACAGGGCGTGGCTAATGAATATATTACTTATTGCTTCGCCATTGGATCCTGACTACTTTCACACGATGAAACTGCGATCTTCTGATCAGTGTCATGATATCGTCGGGACTGGTCACTCCATTTCGTTCTTAAGTTGACAGTGTCCACACTGCGATGTTGCGATGTTGTCAGCTTTAACCTAAGCTGGAACTCTTTTTTTTTTCTTTTTTCTTTGCAGCACTACCCATCCCTGCAACACATCAACCAGACAAGTCCATCCGTCGTGGTGGAACCGGCTTGCTTCGCCAGGAACTGAGCCTGCTTCCGCAGTACTTCGGTTCCTTCTTACCTTAACCGTCAACTGACCACACACTGCACCTGTCCATAAAGCATCCGCCGCCTTCACCTTTACGTGGTGTGTCAGAGTCTTTGGCCGTTAGCAACATCACGACAGAGAATGTCCATCTCCCGGTCGCCGGCGAGAAACAAACGGAAACGAAAGTTACTAGGAGAAGTAGATGACGTTTATTGTGAAACTTCGCTCGAAACACCTATAAATAAGAAGACTGTTGTTGATACCCGAGGCCATCAATGACCTGTTCGCGAAAAAAAAAAAATATATGAGGGGCACGTTGCAACGGCATGCCGCAGTCTCTTCGCTTCCTCGGGAGTGCATTAACGCCAGGACGTCGATCGCTACAAAGAAGCGCGGCATCCACTTTCGTCAGATGCCTGAACATGAGCGGGTTGTTGTGAGGGCGTCGAATCGTACCAGCGATTCGGACGTCACGATGCGGTAATGCGCCACTTTATGATGTGTTCGGGGTAGTACATGGCAGAAGAGCTGTTAAACCCGAAACGCTTGACACCATCACCGTCGGTGGGGTGCGCGTGCGGGCGATGTGTTGGAAAACACTAACAAAATAAGCGAGCGCGTCCTGGCAGTTGAACGCGAGCAGGACGGAAGCGAAGGCTCGACAACTAGGGTGGCACGGGTGCCGCCTGCTGCGTGACCGAGGCACGTGTCCAAGGGGCCGCGTTGCGGGCTCGGCTCATGGCAGGACGACTCCGTTGCACCACTTGTGGTCTCCCGGGAGGAGGACCCAGTCGATGACGTGGACGACGCCGTTCGACGCAGGAATGTCGGCCCGGTACAGCGGGGAGTTGTTGGCTTCGTACAGGCGACCTGCGAGCCGTCCAAAGCAGAGTCAGTCTTACGACACAAGAATGCGCGCCTCGAAATATGTTTCGAGTTCCTCTGTCGGCGGCGGGAATTGTACATCCGCGCGCTCCTTTTTACGGCCTTGAAGTGAATTCTAAATGCATAACGAATCAATTATGAGTTTCGAGCCGGCATTACTTGTTTTTCTGGGAGAACTGCGTAATCGGCGAGTGCAGTCTCTTGGTTCAAGCCTGACATTTTCATTGTTCAGTCCCAGTACGTACTTACCTTCAAGTTTCTTTTTAAGTTAATAATAAACGGCATCAGATGACGAAGTCCTACAGACAGAAATATAGAGGCTTTCTTACCCTGAATTGGTGCTCTTAAATTAACAGCTTTTTTTAGCAAGTAAATCAAAACAGAAATTCGGCAACTTGATATAACAGGATCCACAACTTAAAAGAAAAGGTTTTGTCCCCAATAACTACAGTCGTGAAAAATATATGATAAAAGTCCAGGTGAGCGCGTGACTTCGAAAGCACCCAGCGCTATCTATAGTAGAAAAAAGCTGAGCTATGTGACCGGGCTATAGTGCACACGAGAGTCATTTCAGCAGCTGCTAATTTTTGTCACCCCCGGCTCAGACGGCCGACTGCTGCTGATTCAGCGTATACGCTGAATCAGCAACAGTCGGTGACAGCTGTCAAGAAAGAAGTGGAAGCTCCTCCCACCTCTTTCCACTTTAGCAGAGGAAACGCTGGAAAGGAGCTTGGTTCCTCTCCAGCGTTCGCACTGCCAAAAGGAAGACAGGTGAGAGGAGCTTCCACTTCACTCTTAACCTGTCACTGAGGGCTTTCTACAACAGCCAAATGGAGAGATCATGGCTCATTCATTCGGGTTGCCCTGTTATCGCACGACCTGGTCAATAAACACGGAAACACTGAGTAATCAACATGGTGATCCGATTGAACGAGTTGTGCTCTCTCTCGCGCTATTCGTAGCGTAACACCGCATGCGTGGTCTAACACCACGGCCGATATCAGCGTTAATTCAACAACATTTCATCGGTCAAGCGGGAGTGATGACAAAAATAGAACAGCAGGTGACAGAGACGACAATGTCCTCTCTCCTCTCACCCCGGCACGTCGTCTGCTCCGTAGATTAAACAATACCAAACACCCGGTTGGCGTGCAAACATGGTTGAAAATTGCGTCATTTCGGCACTATTAGGCGCAAATGGGCGGATTGGTATCTGCAAGTTAATGTAAGATGTGATACAGGACAAAAGAGACCAACCGGACACAATCCTGCTGTCACCTCGTGCAAATAAAAAAGAAAAGTGAATTCAACCCTGTAAACAGTGTGATTGGTCTGTCATCTCCGTCGAAAAGTGAATGCGATGGTACTAACTCTACGCAAGGTAGTGTTTTTACTGATTTAGGCCTTTCGCAACTAAGTGTGGTAAGTCTAGATTTAAACAAAAAAGAAAAACGTGCTAATCAAATATCAAACAACAACTGCGCGATTGTTGTTGTTGCGGTAGTTTGTTTTTTTTTTTTTTAACAAGCAACGCATCTTAACATATGTTATTGCTTCTAGCCTTGGATTATGGATATGAAGATCTTTTAGGGCTTACATTATCGTAGATGTTTGTAGTTGCCTATTTGTAATTAAAAGTACTTATTGTGATGTTTGTTTACACGTAAGCGGTACTTGGAAAGCGACTAATGAGTGCGGAATTGATTTCAATGCGCTCCAAAATCCCAATGACGCGGTGCCGGCGGCGGGGTTCGTGTAAGGTTGTTTATTGTAATTCATAAAAAATAAAATTAAAAAATAAAGCAGCTAACCTCGACGTGACGGCGCTTCATTGGCTTAGGAAACTATATTACATATGGCTGGGAACACGTAAGAGAAACCGCTCTGGGTTTTAATGTTTCTAACCCTGGAGTAAAGAAAAAAAATGTTTGCATGGAGTTTTACGAAAATCGAGCAAAGTCTTTTTCGAACTAAGAACTGTATACAATCGAAATTCTATTTTCTGCTGATGCAATAAACGCAGCAGTTGAAGGTAGTGCTGTCGGTGAACGCCATTGCTATTGAAGAGAGAATGTACGCTCGGTGATTAGTTACTGAAATAAGACAACAAAGCGCAAGAGACTGCTTCTGGAGTAGCCACAGATGTTCTAGAGACTCGAACCACTTCACAGCGGCGTTAGCGAGCGAGCGTCAGATGTTCGGTACAGCCCATGCGGGTACTGCACAAAAATTGAGAACGCCCCGTTTCTCTCCTGCTATCAGGATCGGGCGAGTGGCCTCTCCTTCTTTTATCCAGCCCAATTCGTTCAAATGCCCGGATGTAACGCAATGGCGCCGCCCTTAGAGCACTTAGTCCATTAAGGCCCGTTCACACACTTGCATTTGACTACAACCGACTGAAGCAAGACCGGTTTTTAAGCCTCTTGGGACGGTTTGCGACCGGATGCGCAGCAATGCAGAGGTTCGTAGGCCGCCGCAAGAGGCTTAAAGTGGCCCTCTAATGAGATCTGAGTTTCTGACCATGTTCTGACCTATCTATGATATTACCTTATTAGTGGTTCGGGCTACTCGAGGAACAAGTAGTAGTCACAAGATATTAGCGTATCATATTTTAATTCCATGGGGCAAAAACAACTCAACGTCCGGTGGCGACACAGTTTTTTTCGAAAACACGCGACCAGTGACATCACCGGTAATGATTTTGTGATCGGCAGTTGTCAAGAGCCGTCAGAATATTCCTTATGCAGGCTAAATAACGTATTGGCGAACTGCCAAGTCTCGTGCCGACACTTATGCCAGGCTACAACAGAAATCTAAACGGAGCACAGCCTTGGCCTTCGTGAGTACGGTTGCGTGGCAGCTGCGTTGATAGCGTACTGACTATATTTATCCTCGAGCAGTAATTGCAAGGTGAGGCCTGCTAGAAACAAAATACGCTACCGATATTGAAGCGTCAGACGTGTACATTGGCTCATTTTAGAGCATGTTTTTTTATGTTAATTTGCCGCTTACTCGTCAATGGAATAATTTAAAGATAATATAGAGAAACACCCCCACGAAAGAAATCAAAACAAATAGGCAAGATAGCTGGTTGAGAACAGACATTGCAACCCTTGAGCACGGGGGGGAACAGCACAATAATACGAACACCAAGATTCAAACACAGCTGAAGTCTAATTTCACAAACCACGTTCTTATACAGTCCCACAAGCAGAGAAAAGCACTGCCTGAAGGCCAAGTATATACAAGGGAGCCTCGGAAGACCACGGTTTCGTTGAGGGTCAAGACGCACCTAATTCGTTAGGCCATTATGAGTCACGGTTTTACCTGCGACGCTCTCGTTGCTCCCGTTTTCGCTGGTGTGGACACAGCGAATGCAACTTCCCTCGCTTCGACGGCCATCGCGCCAGCCTCCGACAACATACAATCAGGGAAGCTTCAAAAGACGAGCAGAAATCTCCGAAGGACCTGTTTCGGCTAATTACGGGTATTCCCGCTGGTGCCGTCCGCTTTGCTGGAGTCGCAAATACCACAATGATCAGTAAAACGAGGAGCCAAGATCGTATCTAAACACGAGGAGACATCCCAGTGCATTCATAGTGGAGTGCACACTCACGATTGCATCCGTCCACGTTGACGCTGACTCTAATGGGCTGGTCGTTGTTCAGTGACTTGAGGTACTGGCCGTCCCGGAGGTCGTGACTGTAATGGATTCCTTCCGCGATGTGATACAGCAGGAATTCTGAAACGACACAGATTGGAGCGTTTTTTTTTTTTTTTTCTTGTTCTTCTTTTATAAAGAATTACGTCAGTCAACTCTTTATTCCTGGAAGGCGGATTCACTTATCCGGTTAAACTTATTGAATCACGCCGCACCAAAACCTGTACCGAGAACCGTCGAGCGGAATGGTTTCGGGACCCCTAACTGGAACGTCTCTTTGTTATACTTCACATTTATTTAATATAAGCGGCTTGTGAAAATGTCGTTTCAAGCGTGGCGACCCGGGGGGAATATGCTGGCGTGCAAACGTTGTTCCTGCTTTGTCATTCTGTTTGCTCCGTTTAGCACAGAGTGAGCGAAGCTCTAAAAGCTAATTAGGCGACAGAATTACTCTATCTGGGGCCTAGTGACGCAGGTGTATGCCCGCATCCATGGCGTTGACGCTAAGCCGCAGCATGCCGAGCCTTTCGTTCGTTTTTATCCATGTCAGAACGAGAATGTGTGGTATGGAACTTGGTTATATACGCATTTGAGCATTTGACCGCAGCGCCTTCTCGTCTGTAAACGTTCAGTCAATGCATGCAAAGTTTAACGCGATTATATAGGCATTTGACCGCAGTGCCCTCTCCTGTATAGACGTTGAGCGGCTACATGCAACGTTTCATCCATGACATCCCCAGCTCTTGAGTTACTACCTCATCTCAGAGCCCCCTACTCGTCCCGCAGTCGTGGCCGAGTGGTTAAGGCGATGGATCCATTGGGGTCTATCCGCACAGTTTCGAACCCTGTCGACTGCGCAAAATTTTTTTTTCTTTTTTTAAGAAGACAGATGGGATGGCAATCGATGAGAGCACGGACGCTGGACGGACAAGGCTAGACCCTAAGGAGCTTCGCCCCTAAAAAAAAAGGTCATTCTCTTCCTTCCTCCTCTAAGAAGCAGAAATAGAAGGTTATAAACTGGAAAGCAGAACAGTGGCTTACGTCGTGATCCAGAAGCGAAATTACACGTTTCCCGAACGAACCTTGACGACTTTAAAGTGTAATACTGAGGCTCACTATGTAGAGTGAAAATATCTTAGTCCGACTGTCTTTCACTTCGTGCAAGTGTAAACGTTCTAAGGCCTTACCAGCTGTTTAGGGCACAATAAAACACAGATTGATTGATTGACTGATGGATTGATTGGTTAATTGATTTATTCATTGATAGAGATATACGGTAAACTCGCTCTGGTCAATAGTTCGTGATTTGAAAGAAAACTAAAAATGGCGCCTCTCCGAAAGGACCACTGGCCCTGTGTCCTGCCGAAACATTCAGTCTTTTTTTATTTCTATTATATCTTTCGATTCTTTTTTTTGATAAACACGAATTGATCAAAGTTTTACCGGCGAGTTGTTTCTTTGGATTTTATCGGATTTACCTGAAAAAAGAAGACACTTCTTAAGAGCCTCCTCCAAACTACGTACAGCTCGGCTGAGATTTGAACACGACACCTGGGCATCCCTAAACCGGCACTGTACCTCCTAGTCGTTGGGTCGGCTGCCATTCATGCACGGCAACCCTGGGAAACCATTATCTTCGCCAGCGAATCTAACTAACTCGAAACACTCACCTTTGAGAGCGGTGACGTTCTTCTGGTAAACCTTGAGTTCATCCGCCGGCACTTTGGAGAGGGCGTCGTTGCTGGGCAGGAACAGGGTGTGCTGACCGTCTGCGCGGAGACAAAGGGCCTTTGTAAGTGGACGCCGGCGCCTCAGCCTAAACCGGAGTTCGCGAAAAGGGGGTTCCAATCTAATTCAATTCGACGTCCTTCTAATTCGGTCGACGTCTTTCCCGCGGGTGTCTTCCCCGAGTCGTTGCGAGCTTTGTTCCCCCGCGACATCCTTCTCTCTTGGGTGCAAGTGCTTCTCGCAGCACCAAACTCAATCGGAGGTTTCCTTGCGCGGCAGAAACTATGAGAGAGTTAGAGAACATACACCGAAGAAATGCACTCACGCCTTTTACGCGGGTATACGCAGAAAGCTCGAGAGGGGATTCACAGGACGATTTTTTGTTCACCGCACATGCACACAACTAGCTCGCCTTCATCGCCTGCCAAGAAGAACGGTCCTGGTTAGCTGGAATGCGCATTGTACGTGCATAAACGTACATTCGTCTCAAACAAAATGCTTGTTTGTTTTTTTTTTGTTTTTTTATGAGATAAACGGGGAGCTGCTTCTGAGCATGTGCTGCGAACAAAAGGCACACAATGAGGCATCCTGAGAATATCCCCTATACAATAAAGCACAACTTGATATAAAATAAATAATAACATTTTTTTTATTTTTTTTAAGTTAGGTTTGTTAGTGCCACGAGACGAATGAAACGCCACAGAAGTCCGAGCGTGTGATTTGTGAGGGTCCACGCAATTTTTTTTCCCTCGTTTATTTTATTATTTTTTTTTTTATATAAGGCTGTCTTTAACTCTTAGCTACCATGTGCTCCCATAGGGGCGAAAACACGCTGACCCGGGGTGGAATGAGATCCTGGTGAAACAGGTTAGATCATCTAAATTCGGGCATGGACACGCAGAATCGCAACGAGCTACGAGGGAACCTATAGATTTACTGACGAGACCTAGGAAACGTTTGGACCCAAAAATGCGACCTGCGTCAGAATTCCGCGCACGAAAACGTCACGCTCGGTGGCCAGCGCAGGCAACGTCGTCGATGCCAGACTTCATTAGCAGGGCCTGGTTATTCCTAGCGCTCCCTTCCGTAAATGGAAGTGATGGACTACGCGAGCCCTGCGGGAAACTAGGCGAGCTGAACAACGTCGAAGATGGTCGGACATACCCCTTGAAAACATTATCATACTATGCCTGCGAGAGCGAGAAATAAAATGTTTAATCGAAATGTTTTTTCTTTACACCTTTTTCTATGCTGCCACTGCGGCAACACTCGCAATTCTTTCCTCTGCTGCCGACGCGTGCGAGGAAGTGTGACAGAAGAGAACGACGACCAACGGTAGGAATGGCGACTAGGCTTCATGCGAGTGGGAAGAGCAATGTGTGTCCTTGTTTGAGAACGACGATCCTTCTGTTATGACGAGAAAACACCTGTGAGATTAAGTTTCAGGGCTGCTGGATATTGAAACTCCCTAGAGCGGGAAAATTCAAAATGTGTTCTGTGGCAAAGACAATCATGCAATCTTTCACCGACACCATGTTTCTTGTTCCGTACGCCACCGGACGCGAATCATCGTAAGAATGAAATATGACGAACTTTTTTTGTTGCGAACATTCTGACAAATACTGACTGCGACCGATTTTAACGAAATCACCCATAACGTATGTGGTATATACGGCTGTGGTGTCGACTAGCAGCCAGCAGTGCGCGCGTCCCAAAACCCGCGCTCTTGAGAGCATGGGTCAAAAGCACGCGTTTGGAGCACGTTCTGGGGCACGGCACGATCCTTCGAGGCGCCATTCAAAACACCATCCAGACGCTTCTCTGTGTTCAGCTTAACGCCCTGCCTGGGCTACGTAACGGAACCCGTAGCTTAGTTACCTTGCAACAGGATTGCTAGCCCTTAAAGATCCTCAATACGTTGATACTGGATGTACGCGAGCTTTATTAAAACGTTGTCATATAGCGATCCCGTTAAAGGATTAAGGTCGCAAGCCGTTCAAGTCGCACTCGGACGGACTCACGCGAGTGTGTGAACCAGCCTTTAAGGTGAATCGAAGTATAGATAAGAAAGCAACCGGACTGTCACGTGAGGCCTGCCTTTTGACGTCGGTGCCTGTGTGAAGACGCACCTTTAAGCCGGGATCGCACTGCTTCTACCTCATACAAAACACAGTCTGCAAACAATCCGTGGTTCGAATGCCGCGTGCCAAGTTTCTCCTTGAACCCATCGCCACGCGGCATTCGAAGCAGGGATATCGCTGTGACTCCCGTTCCAGTCGGTATGCAGACTGTCTTTTGTATAATGTGTGAACAGTGTGTGACCTCGACTTTACGTGCGATGCGCGGCGGCGCACGCTCGTTGCGAGTTTTAGACACGGGGGGCGGGATTGCCCGCGCGGAGATTCGCTTCGATAGAAAACCGAAGCAAACGTGCCCAAATTGATCATTTCTTTGGAACGCCGTAAAATTTTGCGCGTGCCTTCTATCATTGTAAGTTATCGATGATGCCCAGCAATATTCTAATTAAAACCACGCCTTTAAAATCAATGATTAACAATTTCATTACTCAAAATTACTTAATCGCGTGCCTTATGTCATGGTAATGTGAGTGCATTTAGGAGTTATCGACGATGCCCAGCAATACTATAATTGAAACCATGCCTTTAAAATGAATAATTAACGTTCTTATTACTCGAAATTAATTAATTACCAAATTATACTGAAAGCTAATAATTTTCCTTAATGGACACTTTGACACAGACCACTACGGCATGAATCCTTTTTTTGTGCATTCGGTAGTTTTCGCAGGAGCGATTTGGCCCACGTTTCCAAAATCACCCTTATATGGGACATTTCTTAAGTATAATAGAGCGAAAATAGTTTGTTGTACTATTTGATAGAACGTTGGACATGCCGCGATTGGTTTAGCTTCATCGCCAAAAGAGCTCTAGAGCAAAATTACTCAGGTAAACTTGTTTTTCCCATGATGTTTAACTCGGGCAGATTCACATCAAACATTTCCATTCTCAGGGGCTGCACCTTTCCTTTTAAACAAGAAACCACCCGATATCCGCAATAAAACATATCCATTTCACCGTCGGCGTTAACACCAACTCTTCTGTTTTTTACATATATGAAAAAGTACCCTCTTGTCATTTCGACCAACCCTGAAATTTTAATTCCCATTTTTGAAACGCCACGGGTGTGGTGAAAGAGTAAACCGCGACGTCCAGCTTATGCGCTACAATTTTGGACGGGTAGGACGGTTTTTGAACAAGACCTGCCAAGCCCCAGGCCCCAAGCCACCTCTTCGTCATTGAGCAGCCTACGAGAGCGCAATCTAACCACAGTTGAACAAAGAGGAACGAATTGCGAGGCGATGAATGCTGCGATACCTAAAACGCGTTCACACCGGCGATGCGATCTAGTCGCGTGATAACTTTCATCGCAAAAGCGACCATCGCGGGCAAAAAGCGACGGGATTTGAGCAGTCACTTGCTGACCCGACTTTTTGCGATGCGATCTAGTCGCGGAGCGGCTGAGCCAATCAACGGCGTTCGGAGCGAGAGTTTTTGAGAAACGACTTGCCAACGAGGGCGTTGGACTCGCTCATCGCGCACGCCAGTGTGATCATCTATTTTTTTTTTCCAACGCGATCTAGTCGCATCGCGCGACTGTTTACATCACCTGTGTGATTGCGCCTTTTCCCATGCCATGCCCGCAGGCTGAGTATCTCCGCCACTAGGTACAGCGAATGTCAGCTTTACCGAAAGGCTGCATGCAGTCGGGAACAAAAGGCCTAACACCCTTTGATACTGAATCTATCTGCTGGGAGAGTTATGTTCGGAACGGGCATTGGCGGAGGACAAATGATGGACTTTTCGTTTATCGTTTCCGTCGTCTTGCAACGCTCTCCGCAACGAAGACGCCGCTACTGCGCATGCGCGCCGCTAACCATGCATATCTGCAGAGTTCCGAATGTCGTATCGAGTGGCAGAGTGAATTGTGGGACGGCGGAAACGATAAACGCCATAACGTAAACCCGGAATCATCCGGGGGGTACACGAGGGCCGCGAGGTCACTTCCCTCCGTCAAGCAGACGGGTCACACAGGTCCTTTTAAACACTGAGAGAGAGGTTTATCCGAGATCTTTGGCTCACATAAAAAAAGTGTTGTTTTTTTTGTTTTTTCTTTTTTTTTTTTTTGTTTTTTTTTTGGGGGGGGGGGGTGGGGGGGGGGGGGTGCGGAAGGTGCAACGGTTGCGTTTTCATCAGTGCTGCGCACGCTAGTTCGCCCTCGGGCCGGAACTCCCCCAGGAGCTCCGGAAAAACAACTCTCGCGCCACACACGCCCTCGGCCGGGCGTTAGCGGCGCGTGACGTCGGACGGCGAAAGCGGCTGTGCTGTCGTGTTCCAAACTATTTAGCATCTCCGCACGAACGACGAAAAGAGCGAGAGAAAAAAAAAAAATCAACTCCGAATTCCCAGGAGGGTGCGCGACGCTAAAAGGGAACGCCCGTCGAAAGATCATTGTCTAAACCCCGAGGACAAGTATGGGACAACACGTCGTATCATGCGTTATTTTGTTTGTCCGCGTCTCAGGGTTTCGATTAGAATGTTTCACCTGACCGGCTCGCTTGCACACTTTCGCGTTTTGCAAACCCTGTCGAAAACCGTCCGAGCCTATCTCCTCCTCTTTCTTCTAGTTCCGGGGTATTGCTAAATGCGACGGCGAACTGATCAGGTCGGTTAAAGGTTTGGCGAATCCTCCAAGTCGTAATGAGCTGCGATATGGGCTCGCCCGGGACCGCTTCATGAATTCCCGGAGAATGGGACGGGAATTTTTCTGCTTTCAGCCGTTCCTTTCTGTCTGCTCGGACTTAATGAAAAGGCTCTTTTGTTTACAGCCTACCGGTCTTGATTGGGGTATGCGACGCATCCTGGCCTGGAATCCTTCGCTGCAAAACGGCGAGGCGGGGGGGGGGGGGGGGGGGGGGGGCGGTAACGGAGAATTACGTGCGTCGTAGTCGTATTGATTACCAGAACGCGAGAACATTCGACGCAGTGATGATATACAGAGCCTGATCTTCTCTTTGGGCGTGCTCACCTTTCTACCGGTCCCGGGGCAAATTGAGACTCTTGCAGCGCGGCGTGCTCATGTCTAAAAGATTCAATGCTCTGAAAAGATGTGCGCGCGTCAACCCCTACTTTACGCACGCGGAAGGGGAGCCAATCCCCGGGATCTAAAGTGGAATCGCAAAGAATGGCGAGATTCGGAAAGATATGTTGACCCATAACGCGATCTGCACTGGAACAGCGGCACGACGTGCGCGTGCAGTGTTCCAGCGCAAGTTGCATTCCTCCAACAAACTGCTTTTCCGCTCGTAATAAACCTTTAAAAATGCTTGCAAGTTGACGGAGGCGCGCTGTTCTCGTATGCAGCGCAACACACGTCAGGCTCTGCTGTGGATGCGTGCGTGCGTGTCTCATTCCGCCGAAGAGAGCAGCTCCTACGCATACTCGAAACCCGTTCTACAGTCCAATAAACGAAGACTGCAGAGTGAAGAAGGCGATTATTGGAGTGGTCTATGGTCTCCAGAGTTGTCGCTCGCGCGACACAATGAAAATTTGTGAAAATTAGGCGGTGCATTGAAAGGCTGCGAAGAAAATGATGCCCGTGAAAAACTAAGCGACCCGACCCACTAGCCGAGGATGGGGCAAGAGCTCACCCTTGAGCATGTTGGCGACTCCGGTGCCCGTGGCCAGGGTGAGGAAGCCCTCGTACTTTCCGCACTCCGCGATGGTGGTCATGACGTCCCGGTCCGCAGCCGGCGACAGCACTCCGCTGATGACGTGCACGATGCCTCCCTGGGGCCCGCTGCCGTCGGCCGCCACGATGCGCTGGCCGTTCACCGTCACGATCTGCGAACACAACAGATGGCCTGAGCCCGTACCTTTCTACGCAGCCGCCCCGCGCGCGGGAACCCCTTCAAAGGGTAGCAACAGGGATGGGCAGTATTCCAAATACAAGTATTTAAAATACGTATTTCAAATACTTTGTGTATTTTGCATTTGTATTTAATTACAAATTTTGTAATGGATTTGACGTGTGTATTTAGATACTAAAACGTGGGTATTTCAAATACAATTGTAATTAAATACAATTTTGTGGGCGAAAATACATCCCTCAAATTTATTGTCACTGTCCAGAGCAGGAAGAAAACTACGTTCTGCACCGATTGCAGTGTCTCTCAATCAAGCACAAGCGTTTAGTGACTTTTTGAATACGGTGCTAGTCCAAGGCAAGAATAGTGACGAAATCGACGTTCACAGGCAGCCTGGCTAAATAAGTGCCTGTGACAACTTGTGATGCTTTCCAGCCTGATTTCCATCCATATTTTTGTTGGAACATTCTAAATGCGCGGGTCGTCCAGATTTTCGTAACTGGTGCGAGTTGCAACAATAAAAAATTCTCTACCTAGTGCTGCGCGTTTTGGTCGTCTCAGTTCTTTGTTGGTCTATACCAAAATATAATCGACAAAAAAAGCTGCTTGAAGCTCTGCACTTTTTTTCGCCTATTACGTCCAAGCTGACTACACTTTTTGTGATTATATTTCTATTACGTTACTAGAGCCTCGCACACCAGCTCCCGAGTGTGCGATGCAAAATTAAAATGAAATACCCAGAAACCCGTTGCAGGTGCCCTGAAGTCGCTGACGCAGATTTTGAGGAATGTATTTGGAAAAGTATTTGGAGGAGACCAAATACATTTGGGTGTATTTGTATCTTGTACTTAAATGCTTTTTTTTGGTAATGTAATTAGATATTTAAATTAAATACGTTTTTGACGAAGTATTTTGTATTTGTATTTTGATACATATTCGCATGTATTTTGCCCATCCCTGGGTAGCAAGGTGTGTAGTTGGGTGAGCTGGTGCATCATGATCATAAATATAGTTTTCTCATCATTTTCATAATTGTTCATGATCATTTATTTATTTCCTTCAATTTTACAGATAAACAAGACATAATGAAAAACAGCGCTCAAAGGGACCGCACAAAAAAAAAAAAAAAATAAAGAACACAGGCCAAATACGCGCTGACTCATATTTCGTCCTTTCGTCCTGTCCCTTTGAGCGCTGTTTTTCATGATGTTCAGTGATGACCAAACTTACCACTTTGCTGCTATTTTCGGCGTGGTTATTCTACAACAGAGTTAGTGGAATTGACTCAGGGCCTTGCATCATCCATAAATAGAAGTACTCAAATTGATGTCACTGTCATTCCGAAAACCTTTAAATAGGTATCGTAAAAAAAAAACAATAACAACTAAATTACGCGGGATTCTCCGTGCTGAAAATTGAACAGCTCGCCAATTGAATCGTAACATAACCGTATCTTTCGAACAGGTAGAGCATGCATATTTTATCAACCCTTCTTCTGATAAACTACAGGGTGAAACAAGGAGACGCCAGGCTCTATAAATCGACCGGAAAATTCGGTTTCTTAACCTATCGCGCTACGACTTTGCGCAGCGTTGCCCACAAATGGTGCATTTTTTTTTTTTTTTTTTTGTAAAATTTGCAAAGAACGAACTTACCTGAGGAAAAAGTAAAGAAAGAAAAATACTTAGCTCCTATGGAAATGCAGCGACGCCACCGGTCTTCAAACAACACGGCGCCGTTTTGCACGGGAGACAAGAGATGGCGCAACGAACGCCGCCAACGAACGAGCATACGGCGCCGAGAGCCAGCGTCTTTAGCAGACGAACTTTTCGACTCAAAAGCGGCGCACGTTCCGCAGGCGGCGACAGTCGCAGAAACAAAAACAGGCGCGGTAACAACCAGGAACTGCAGTTCCTTGTCTGCTAATTACGCCGGCTCTCGGCGTCGTCTGCTCGTTCGTTGACGGCAGTTGGTGTCACGACCGCTTGCGCCATCTCTTGCCTCCCGTGCGAAACGGCGCCGTGTTGTTTGCAGACCGGTGGCTTCTCTGCGTTTCCATAGGAGCTTAGACTTTTTCTTTCTTTACTTTGTCCTCAGGTAAATTCGCTCTTTGCAAATTTTACAAAAAAAAAAAAAAGTGCACCATGTGTGGGCAATGCTGCACAAAGTCGTAGCGCGATAGGTTAAGAAACCGAATTTTCCGGTCGATTTAAAGAGCCTGGCGTCTCCTTGTTCCACCCTGTGCTTGTTGATTCTTGGGTTTCCCAAGGATCCGCTCTTCGACCTCTTTTACTTTTCTTATTTATGACGACATTGTGAAGAAAACTTCTGCAGGTCTGAAGTTATATGCTGTTGACTGAGCACTTTACTATGAAGTGAATGATTCTAGCGATCAACGTCAGTTGATTGAAGATTTGAGACTGACTGAGAAGTATTGTAGCTCTTGAGAGGTGTGTGTTAAATTAAAATAAGTGTTCCTATACAGTTCTCAACTGCTATGCAGTTCTTAACTGCGACAAAAGATATTTCACGACAAAAGAACACGGATTGAAAATTATATTATTTTGCAGATCGTTGCAGATAAGAACTTTTCAACGGTTGACTGAGTGTACATAGCCGAAGATGCTTACATCAAAGAGGGATACTGTCAGTGCGATGCACGTCACCGCGTTCTATAGCTCATTCAGAAACGGAGTTCGAAATTCCAAGTCGGGGGAAGGTGGTCACGCGTAGCCGCCCTATAGCGAAATCTAATCACAAGCACACCTTCGGGTGAGACGTTGTCACTTCAAAAGAATTATTCATCAAGTGCTAGAATATGTTAACAACATTCGGGACCCTTTTACAGAATCGAGCACTACGAAGTTAGACAGGGTTATGGTAGTTATAAGGGGGGGGGGGGGGGGGGGGGGGTGTACCGAGCGCTTTGCGTTCTTAGGGTAGTTCCACGTGCCGCCGCTAGGAGATCGAACAGTCACGCCTCGAGCGGTACGGTTCAGCTGTTGGGACAACAAACCGTATTTTCTTGTCTGTTTTCGATCCGCGAAATCGAAGATGACGATTCTTATAGGCCGCTCCTCGTGCTACCAAAGCGCTAGTCAGAAGGAAGCACTCGTGCCCAGACCGTGCTAGGAGAGGTTCAATAGACCGATCTCATTAGCCAGTTTGACTACGCCACCGCTGCCGCAATGCATCGAGGAAACTTTAGTCTTTCTGCACTTGCGACAACCTCGCTGGAGCTCTGCGCATGTGGCACGTGCCCTCTCGTGCACTGCCGGCTGCTTCCTGTGAACTAAAGCTTTGGCGGCATCACGCAAGCGCTGAACGCTTAGTGAGATCGGTCTATTTCTTTGTCATGCTGCGTTAGTAAACAGCGGGCTGTGGGGAAAACAAGCTCGATAAAGCGCCCCCTATAGTTCCACCTCCTGCCCAATACTCCGGTCACCCTTCAGTTGAGACTGCAGCCAATGCCACAAGCTGGAGTTTGCTGCTTTGAAGCGCTCTTCCGCAGAACGAGCACTCGCACTAGAAATGCACGTCTCAAAGCCAGGAGCGAGGGCGAGCTCGCGCTCGTTGCTTTGGCTGCAGGCTCAGCTTAAGGGTATCATGACTTTATTGTTTGTTGGTTTTCTGTTTGTTTTATGAAAAGCTAATGTCGCATCGCGCTAAGCCCGTGTCCTTTCTCGCTCAGTATTGAACAGCACACTCGCAGGGTACGATTGGTGGGGTCCTCTCGTTTATAAATGAGGATTGAGAAGGACACCAGCTGCTTTGCGCTTCACTGCAAGAGAGGCTACAAATCCAAGAGGCGAGGATTTAAAGTGTTATTATTTTCTGTTCCCAAATACCCTAATCGTTTTGAAAATGATCGACTTTTGGCCGGAGGGCAAAGACCTTTAGCCTTAATTGGTGGTTTGTGAAGTCAATATAGGAAAACAAAACGCATGAAAAAAATGCAATTCAAACCACAATGCCAGTGTAAGGAAGTAAGGTTAGTTCTAATTTTTTTATTTCCTATTCACTTCAATATGGCTTTACAAACTTTAGTATATTGAGTGCAGTTGTTAGTTACGTCCTTGAGTAAAATTTGACATTTCTGTATCATGAGGACAATTTTTGAGACCTGCGTAGCCGCAGTGCTTCTCCATCTCACCTGCAAAAAGCTACCGGAACCTTGCGCCTGGTGTCATCACGCGGCGTCATGAACAAGCGGCATGCATTCGATTTTCTGGTCGGCACACCTCCCCTCATAGCCACCATAAAATGGTTTAAGATAAAGTTGTTGGATTCATATTTAATTGGTTACAACACCGGTTACAGATCTAGTTCAGAGAGCTGGCCTTTCTTCACTGCCGGAAAGAAATTGAGCATGGAAACTAAAAGTTTTACTTAAAATTATTCGTGACATTTATAAAATTAATTGAAATAATTATATTACGTTGTCTAAGTGCAATTCCACAAGCCCAAGGTATAAGTTCGCCATATTCCGATTTAGGTATGGCAGTAATTGTTTTAAATTTTTTCTTCTTTCCAAAAACGCGGTGGTGGAGTGGAAAGGGCTTCTTCATGACACGGTTGAACAGGACTCTCTAGACATGTTTACTGCGCGTCTTGTTTCAACTGCTTATGTAGTAATGTTTCCCCAGTTTTGTACAGAGTATGTTTGGCAGTCTGGCATCGCTCTTTGCAAATTTCTGCTATATTCATGTTATATGCCCACCCGCTCGAATCTCCTTGTAAGATCGGCTATATAACTAAATAATAAATAAATAAATAAACTGTTTTTTTGTTTTTTTTTGTGCCAAGAGTGTACGAGACAGCTTGTCCGTGACACCGTTATCTTTAAAGTGTTATTCTGTGATACAGTGTTAGTTCCATTTCATCGCGACGAAAGAGAAAGAGGATACGTAAACGAGCGGTTGAAGGGGCGGTGCAACGGTATTGGGTAAAACTTGTGGCTGAAACTTGAAGATTCGC